CCCGAGAGCCCCAAGAAAGGCCAAGAGGCCCCCAAGAGGCCCCCAAGATGGTACACGAGGGGTCCGACATGCCACAAGATCGCTCCAAGACGCCCAAGATAGCCCCCAGACGCCCCAAGAGGCCTCCAAGAGCACTCCCAATAGGGCCCCCGGAGGCAAAAATCATTGTTTTTCCATAGGTTTTTGAGAGATTTTGGAGCTTCCACCTTTTCGGCTTCCCGACGCCCCAAGACGGCCCAAGAGGCCCCCAAGATCGCCCCAAGAGGGCCCAAGAGGCACCCAAGAGGGCCCCAAGATGGCCCAAGAGGGCTCGAAGACGGCCCAAGAAGCCTCCAAAACGGTCCAAGAGGGCCCCAAGAACGCCCCCAAAGGGGCCCCAGAGAGGGAACACGAAACAACATTTCGAGCCCTCGGCCCTAAGAAGCCCCTACGAGGCCCCTAAGAGGCCCCAAGAGGCCCCCACGGGGCCCTCAGGAGGCCCCCAAGAGTCCCCCAAGCGGCCCCAGGAGGCCCCCCAAATGCCCCCCCGAGCGCCCCAGGAGTCCCCCAAGCGGCCCCAGGAACCCCCAAAGCGCCGCATTGACACCAGGCCCTCGGGCAAACGGCAGACATGAGACTGTATGGGCCGGCGGAATGAGCGAAGCGATTAAATAATCAATTTCCTTAGTGCGGTCGCAATAGGGATTGCTTATGTCCACGCGAGCCCGCGTTTTCCAAATTCCTTAGATTCCTTTGTGGTTCGTTTGAGCTGCCGCTGAGATGCCTTTGCGATTTCTGTTGGGCTCCTTTGAGATTGCTTTGAACTTCCATTGGTTCCTTCGATATCATGCGTGGGATTCCTTGTGATATTCTTATGGGATTCCTTTGGGTGTTCTTTCAAGTTCCTCTGACATTCCTTCGACAATCCCTGAAGGGAGCATCACATCGACCTCCCGAGCCTGTGGATTATTCTATTTTCAATAAATGTGCTAATATATCGCGGGGGGGTTCGCGGAATCCGTCTGCGATATCCTTCCGTGGACTCTCCCATAGGACCCCGTGAAAGAATCAATTTCCCCATTGCGGCCGCAAGAGGGTTTGCTTATGTCCACGCGAGCCCGCGTTTTCCAGATTCCTTAGATTCCTTCGTGGTTCGTTTGAGCTGCCGCTGAGATCCCTTTGCGATTTCTGTGGGGTTCCTTTGAGATTACTTTGAATTTCCAATAGGGATCCCTTGAGATTCTGCGTGGGCTTCCTTCTGAGATTCCTCTGGGATTCCTTTGGGTGGCCCTTTCAAGTATAGTTGCTTGCGGTGATTTCATTGTTTGTCGTTTTTGATTTACCTTTGATTTCCGATGCGCGTCAGTTTCCCTGTGTTCTAGCAAGGCGGGAACCCATTGGCAAGCGTTCGTGCGCGTTGGTTCTTCAGGCTGTCGCCTCGCGTTGCCGCCAGCTTCGGGCCCGGGGGGGGCAAATTAATTAATTAATCATTTTATTTTATTTTTATGTGCTAACGATATCGCCGGAGGGCGCCGCCCAACATAATTATTTATTTTATTTTCTGTGCTAGCGATATCGCCGGGGGGGTTACTGTTTGCTTGCCGGGGTTATTTAATGATGTCGATGCCGACGTCTTTGCCGGCTTCGGTGCTGGCATCGATATTGTCGTTGGTGTTGGTTTCGATGTCGGTGTCGGTGCATGTATCGGTGCTGACGTCTCTGCTGGCTCCGCTGCTAAAATTAACCTTAAGTTCGATGCTGGCGTCAATGCTGGCTTCGGTGCTGGTTTCGGGCTTCGATGCTGTAGTCGGTGCTGGTATTTCTGCTGCCGCCGATGCTGGTTCCGATTGTGGAACGAGTGCTGCATTCGATACTGGCGTCGATGCTGGCGCCGCTGCTGTTAGCAGTGCTGGTGCCGCTGCTGGTGTCGATGTTGGTGTCGGTGCTGATGTCGGTGTTGGCGGTGTTGGAGTCAGCACTGGTTTCAATGCTGGCGTCGATGTTTGCATCAGTGCAGTGCTGGCGTCGACGCTTGCGGCAGTGCTAGCGTCGATGCTGGGGTCGGTGCTGGTGTCGATGCTGGCATCGTTGTTGGTTTCGATGCAGGGGTCGGTGCTGGTGTCGATGCTGCAGTGCAATCTGGCTACAGTGCTGGAATCGATGTTGTCTTGATGATAGAGTCGATGCTGGCGCCGATGCTCGCTTCGGTGCTGGCGTCGATGCTGGGGTCGATGCTGGTGCATCGTTCTGGTAGCTAGTCACCACGACCAGCCTCTGGCCGATCCGCACGCCGTTGACGTGCGCGATGGCCTTCCTGGTGGCCTCCTCGGTCTCGTAGTGAACGACCCCGAAGCCCTGTGTCTTCAGAGCCAGTCGGCCATGACCTTGCAGGTCCAGATCCTGCCGCAGAGGCTGAAGGTGTCGTGCAGGGCGTTGTTGTCGATGCCGTGGTCCAAGCTGCCGACGTATGTACTTCCAGTGCCGCTCTGGCGCTTGTTGGCCTCGTGCTGGTCCGTGTGATGCGGCACGCGCGCCCGTCAATGTATGAGTAATTCAGCATGTCGAGCGCCTGGGTGGCGTCCTGCTCCCTGTGGAAGTCGCCGTACGCATATCCGGGATTCCCACGGGCGCTGCTACCATGGTATAGCCCGCTTGAGGCGACCGGTTATCGCAGACGAATAATGAGGTGGTGCAAGCGTCGTAGTGGGGAGGGGTGTCGCGTAGGGCGGTGGGTGAGGAGGGCGTCGACCCCTTTTTGGAGGGCCTTGTCCGTCGCGAACGTCGTCTAGGTGCACTTGGTGTGTCGACGTCATTGGAGTAGCTCTGCAGGTCCTTCTTATGGTGCTCTGGATCCTCATGCTGGTGTCGGAGACAGTGAGAGTGCGGACGTGCGGCTGGCCGTTGGTTGCAGCGTCGGCACCAGATTCGGAGATGACTCGGGTGCGGACTTCGGCCTCTTGTGAGGCGTCGGGAGGGCCGTCGTGTGGGGCGTCGCGCGAAGCGTCAGGGGTGGGGGCGTCAGGGGGGGGCGTGGGGAGGGTCGTCGGGTGGGGCGTGGGGAGGGGTTTCTCGTCGTTGAGCTGCGCCGCGCATGGCATCCTGGGCTGTGTCCTCGAGCTCCGCATGCGTCAGCTAGGCGACCGCGGGGCGGGAAGGGAGGCCGGGTTGGGGTTAGGAAGGGCCCAGGCTGGCCGGTATCACGATGTGTTGGATGCTGCTGTTGGTGTCGGCGTCGGCGCTGGTGGTGGCGACGGCGTGGGTGCCGGCGTCTTGTGCTGTGGCACTCCCTGCAGCTGCCACGCCGCCGCCGCACTGCCGCCTCGGCCGCGGCCAGGCGTCGTCGTGCCGCGCGGCGCGCCGGGCCGCGGCGGCACCCGGAGCGGCGGCCTCCGGTGCCCGCAGGGAGGTGCGGGGTCGCCCTGATGGTGGGCAGCCCCCCGTGGCAGGCCAGCCACAACTGGGGGAGCTGTGGTCCTTACCCCCCTGGGGGGCCCATCGATTTTGACACCCCTCTCGAGAGATCGTCGATGCGATTGGTTGCCCCAGGGGGGTAAGGACCACAGCTCCCCCAGTTGTGGCTGGTCGGCGCAGCCGTGTGGGCGCTGTCGTGGACGGCGGCGTGCTCGTTTGGGGCCGCGGGCGTTCCACGCGGGGCCGTGGCGGGCGCCGCGCTCGTGGCAGCCGCGGGCAGGGGGCGCGCGGGCCTCGCCCTGTGGGGGGGAGGGGGCCCGCATGTGCGACTCTCCTCTTCCCCCTCCTTGAACCAAAATAGCTACTGAGCCTCCTCCTCCTCCTCCTCCTCCTCCTCCTCCTCCTCCTGCTCCCTCTTTGGAGGCGTCAGGCGGCCTCTGGAGGCCAGATCAAAGCCTAAGAACGCCCAAGCACGTTGATCCCCGAAGTTCCTCCTCCTCCTCCTCCTCCCACTCCTTCCTCCACTTCCTCCTCCTCCTCCTCCTCCTCCTCCTCCTCCTCCTCCTCCTGCTCCTGCTCCTCCTGCTCCTCCCCAGTCCTCCCTCCACTTCCTACTCCTCCTCCTTCTGGCACCGGGGCGACGCCAGATTCCACGAGGCCGTTCTGGTCCGATACCTCTGCCCCAAGGGCCACACAGGGGCTTTGATACATCAGCGCGTTGGCGCGCCCGAGAATATTGCAGCCGTTGGTCAAAGCGTTCTCCGTTCCTCGTTCTCTCCAGGTGGCATGTTCAAAATCTTGGTTAGCAATGTGCTCGTCCTCCGCGCTCCTGGGACCATTTCGATCCGATTCGAGGTCGATTCCGGCGGGCCCGATTCAATTTGATGCCAAAATCCCGACGATCCGATGTGGCCCGATGTTCCCATGGCACGTTCGCGCATCCTGGCGTAGCCGATCCGATTCGATTCCGACTCCGTGCCTATGCAGCCCGATCCGACGCACATTCCGATTCGGGTCGATGACCCGACTCGATGCGAACTAATCATCATCATCATCATCATCATCATCATCATCATCATCATCATCATCATCATCATCATCATGCCCCCTCCAGAATTAGGATGCAACTTCTGGGAGATTCAAATCGGTTTCGGCGCTGGTACATCCGTGGTCAAACCCTGCCCTAAACTTTCTGATGACCCCGTGTGATTCGGCTTAAAATCTCGATTGGTCACGAGCTTGATCCCGCGATCAATCGGGCCTACTACCCTCGTCAAAATTGACCTCAAAAGTTGCTGGCACGTCATTTCGATTTCGGCGCGCCCCTGAATGTCGACACGCCGCCCCTTCAATGTCGGGGCGAGGGCAAAGATAGTATGTCCGAAGTTGACTCGAAAGTTTGACGTCGACCGACATTGGAGGGGCGGCGCATGCAAGTACCCCGCACTCATCGATACTCGGCCCCAGATCTTCCGACAAGCAGTTCAACCACGTCAGACATTTTTGAACTTAATTTTGACGAGGGTTGTAGTCATCCGCCTCAATCGCGCCTCAATCGCGCCTCAATGCTTCTTCGGATGGCAGAGGGCGGGAGGGCCCCGGCGCGAGAGGCGACGTGTTCCGGGCCTGCGACCGGGACGGCGACGGCAGGCTGAGCTCGTCGGACGGCCGTTCCCCCCGGCGGAGCGAGTCAGGGCGGGGCTCGTCCCTCCTTTCATACCGTCTCATTCATACCGTTTCCTCCTCCTCCTCCTCCTCCTCCTCCTCCCTTCCTCCTCCTCCCTTCCTCCTCTTCCTCCCTTCCTCCTCCTCCTCCTCCTCCTCCTCCTCCTCCTCCTCCTTCTCCTACTACTCCTGATCCATAGTACCGTCTCTCTCCTCCTCCTCCGCCTCCTCCTCCTCCTCCTCCTCTTCCTCCTCCTTCTCCTCGGCATCATCTCTCGACGAACAAACAACTGCACACACAAACGCTCTGAGCTCCCCGCGGATCTCTGGGATCGGCTACGGGCACCCCATGGCGGCGCCTCCGGCGCCGAACTTGGCTCGCTCCGCGCGCCAGGGAGAGGGGAGCACCGTGCCGACCCGGGCAGCCCGCGCTCACCTCTGACAGTCTGTGCTTATGCTGTTTTTTTGTTCCGTCCTCTACTTTCCTATCCTCCTCCTCCTCCTCCTCCTCCTCCTCCTCCTCCTCTCTCCTCCTCCTCCTCCTCCTCCTGCTCCTCCTCCGCCTCCTCCTCCGCCTCCGCCTCTTTCTCTCAAAATCTCTCTCGCCCTCCCGCACTCCGCCTCCTTCATGGAGCCACCTCGGAGTCTCTTGTAGCTCCATGGGGCCATCTTGGTGAGTGATCTTAGGGGCTGCTGGGGCAATCCTTTGACAGGGAGAGACGAGGGAGGAGGCCCGGAGGCAGAAGAGTAGTAGGGACGGCGTTCACCATGCCGGCCTAGTCGATAAACAATATTTGGCATACGGCCCCCCTGTCCACGCAGCCGTCCAATAGCCGCGCAGAAGGACGGCGGGGACCGCCCAAGAGCAGCGGAAACCGCTGAGGACCACTGAGGACCACTGAAGACCGCCGAAGGCCGATGGGCAGCACAGGGCCCACTGTCGAACACGTACTCTCAGCCAGGTGCAGCCGTCGTTGCGCTGACACCGCCGGCGCTTGCATTGCAGGCGTCGGGTGGGGGGGGCTCGCACCTCGATGCCCTCCCCCCTCCTGAGACCGCATCGGCGATGGAGGTGGAGGGAGGAGGGCCCCTGGAACAGTCGATCGCCTCCCCGCGGCCCGAACGCGGCCCCCTTGCGCCGCGGTCGAGGAGCGTCGCCAGTGCTGCATCCTCACGACGCTGGAGGCCTGGGCCTCCAGAGGGGTCTCTCGGCTCTCGGTCTTCGTCGTCCTAGAGGGACCTCCGTGCACGTCCCCGCCCCCGCCCAGGAGATGCGCCCCGTCGCCGAGCTCATCGGCTTCGAGGGCGACGACGCGACGTGGGAGGCCGAGTTCGCATTGCTGCTGCAGGGCCACGCGGGAGCCCGCCTTGGGGGGGGCGGGGGGCAGCCCAGCCGATGTGCTCGGAAGAGCAGCATATGCAAATAGACACGAAGCGCCGCGCGCCAGGGAGGTGGGGGGCCCAGTGCCGTCCAAGAGACCCGCGCGGGGCTCCGAGACATCGCGGGCACGCCGTGCTCGCTGCTCCTCTGCAGAGGGGTCGGAGCAGGACTGGGGATGGGCGGTCGATACTTTTTTGGGCGTGCTCGGCCTCCTTCTATCTAGGAATGCGGAGAGGCCTCCTGGGGCCTCCCCCCCGCAGGGACCGTTAGGGGCCACCGCTGTGGATGCCTGGGGATCTCCAGAGGGTTGCCGCTGCAGTCACAGGTGTGCGTCGTTGGAGGGTCGCCCTCTCTTGGGGCCTTCTTGAAGGCCGTCCTGGGGGCCTCTTGGGGGGTGTCGTAGGGCCCTCTGCGACTGTCTCTGGGCTCCATTGAGAGCGTCTCGGGTCGTCTTGGGCCGGTCTGGGGGGGGGGCTCCCGGGCCGTTTTGGATCCCCCAAGATTGGTAAAGCCGACTCGAACGTCGTTCAAATACATGTTGGAAGTCATCGGTTTTTGCCTATTGAGCCCCTCATCGGGTCCTTTTGTGGTGTCTTGGGCCATTCTTAGGCCACCAAGCCAACGTGTTGGATCTCTTCTGGAGCCATGTGCCATACTAGATCGCAGTTGAGGCATCTTTGCGGCCGCGGAGTGTGGATCTGGAGGCTTCGAGGTCCCCCCCTCTAGAAGAGAAGTGAGGAAGGGGGACAGCCAAAGGTGTTACACGCCTTTTCACCCCTGGCAAGCGGGGGTCGTCTGGCTATTTCTGGTCTGCTTCATATTGCCCTCTTGGGAGTGGCAGCGACGCCTTCGTTTAGCTGTAGAGTGCAGCAGAAGAGGGGAGAAACTGATGATGTTAGGCGGAGGATATGGGGAGCGCAACGGGGAAGGGACGATAATAGGAGGGAGAAGTGGGGGGAGGGGAGGCGGAGGATGAGGAGAAGGAAGATGAGGAGGGCGGGGTGGACCAGGGAGAGGAGGAGGGACTCGTAGGGAAGCGCGCACGCACGCATCCCACCCCCCTCGCCAGGATTGCCGAAGGTAGGAGAATCGCTCGAGTGCGCGCGCGAGCCGCCCGCATCCCCACCCCCTCCGGCACCCGAGCCCCGCCTGCGCCCGAGGGGGAAGGTTATATTCCCCCGCGGAGCGGCGACGGTGCGTCGCATCCGCGGGGCCTCGCTCCGCGACTGGTCGTCGGGGGCTTCGCCCCGCGGCTGGAGGGGCGCGGGGTACGGTAGGTTTGCGTCGTGTCGACCGGCGGCGACCCCAGCGCGGGCGTTCAAGGTTGAACGCCGGCGGCGGCCCAGAATCGGTCGATGTTGAACGATTGGACGTCGCGGAAATGGCCGATCGTTCAAGGTTGAACGATCCCTGCGGTGTCAAAAACCAACGCCGGGGTCGACACGACACGAACCTGCCGTAGCCCTCTGCGGCACCACTCGGAACTTCGCGGCCAGGCAAGTGTCCACTGTCCTCTGTTGCGTGTGTCCAGCACTCAGCGGCAGGCGGCGGCCCAGACGCAGTGTGCGTGTATCTGTTGATGCCTTCTGTCCAACTCCTGTCACCCAGAGAGAACTGGCCCGGAAATCATACGTGAATGCGTTGCTATGCGCGTTGTCCTGCGGTGGTTCTGCCGAGCCCCACAGGACAGGGCCCAGAGGCCTTGGTGTCCACGTGCGCAGTTCCCTGAACTGCACTGCACGCTGGCGGCAGGCCTGCCTGCGCGATGGATGGAGGGCCCCGCTCCGCGACGAAGGGTGGCGCCCTGCTGCGGCTCTGCGCCTTCCGCGGGCGGGGGCCCTGCGCAGGGAGGACGCAGCTGCGTCGCATCGACGAGGGCTTCCCTCCGCAACGGGGGAGGGCGGTTCTCGCTGCGATCCCCTTGCCTTGGCCCCCTGGCTGGGCGCCCCCCAGGCCATTGCACTGGCGAAGCCACTGCCGAGCCAATGTATCATCCGGCTGGCCCGGCCCGGCACCCCACCGTGTCAGCGTGCAGCCGCCTGGCATGCTGAAGCGCCGATCTGACCACCCCCACCAAGGCAGGAGGATTCGCTGCGCGATTGCGGTGGCGCCTCGCGGCCGGACACGGTACCGCGCGCGCTGGCGGGCGTCTCGCGCGGGGAAGGTGCGACGCATCGGCAGGGCCTTCGTTCCGCGACCGGTTGAGTCCGCCGCGATGTGCGCACGATGCAATCTTAGATTATCCCTCAGGGCATCCACAGGACCCCCAGGAATTCCAGATCCCTAAAAGATATGATGAGGACTCCGTCGGGAGTCCCAAGGAACTGCTACAGGCTCTACGTATCCCACGAACTTCTTCACAAGTTCGGAGGGAAACTTGAGGAATGCAGAGGAAGTCCATGTTGGGCTCCCGAAGGGAACTTGAGAATCTCATTGGTTTTCTTTCAGGATGTCTCAGGATAATCTCGGGGATCCAGAGGAAATCCGTTAGAATCCATTCATTCGGATTCCTGCAGAAATCCTGAGGCTCCTTCATTTCGCTGTTGTTTTTTACCCCTGGTCCTGACCCCTTTTCAGCTGTTCTGTGCAACCACGCTGCCCACTCTCCGTCGTCCTCGTCTTCGCTCCTCCTCCTTCTCTTCGCTCTCCTCTCTCTGGCTCTGTTGCACATCTCTGGTTGCGGCGCGAGTGGATTTCGAGTGTTGGCCGATATGTGTCCTGTCAGCTTCCATCCTCTCCCAAACAACGTTCTGGCCAAAATCAACCAGATTTCTGATTAGCCCCGGAGGGTTCCTGAGGGAATCCCCGGGGGTCCTGAGGAAACTTGGGATGCGCAGGTCAATCCGTGGGATCCCCTCTGAAACCAACAGGAGTATCGAGGAAACGTTGGGATGTCAGGTGACTTCGTCGCGAAAGTCTTAGCGTTTTTAGACATCATCAGGATTTCAACAGAGATGCTCATGATTGTCGAGGGATTCGTCCTGAAACAGTTGTGGGATTGATGACGATATTGTCAGGACTTCTTTAGGGTTCCCGAGGACTCCTGGGGAAGGCCCCATGATGGGGACGCGCCGAGGGGGTTGGAGGGGAGGGCGCTGGGTAGCTTCGGCAAGGAGGCATCAGAGTCCTCGGTCTCGTTTTTTGTTGCTCATTTTGGTTGTTCGGCACCCTTCCAGTATCTGGTGCCCCCCGGAGCGTTCTGAGAGGGACGGACTCGGTCGCAACTCCTGGGAGCCTTGCGTGTCCTCGAAGCTCAGTCTTCAGAGTGCATTCGCGTGCGCTGGTGCCTTGTAGTCGATGGGAAAGCGCCGATTTGGCGTCGCTCAGCCTCGGCTGGCGTCGATTGGCTTGGGTCAGCGTCGGTTCGCCAGAGCCAGCAAGGTGACGTGGGAGGCCCCGAAGAGTTGCCACCGAAGTCTGCTCTGCGCACGAGACGGAGGCGGCGCAGCCCGCCTCTCTGCGTCGCTTGGCCGCGGGAGCGCAACCTCACCCGACCTGTCGTTCCTGTGGCGCTCCCGTGGACGCTCCGACCTTCGGTCTCTCGGGCCTGACATAAGGCGGGCGCGGCTCTCGCTCCAGAGAGAGAGAGAGAGACGGCGACGGCGCCCCACCCGCCTGACAATCTGGACTGCGAGGGGATCGCAGGCAACGACGGGCCAGAGCTGCAAGCGTGCGGGGTCCGAGGCTTTCTCGCAAAGGGCGACTGGGATGATGCGGCACGGGCCGCAGGCGATGCAATGGGGGGAGTCCAGGTGCACGTGCCTCTGCTCACTGGTATGAAGAGGGGTGCCCAGCACCTGGAGAGGGGCGAGGAAGAAGAGGAGGCGGAGCCGGCGATCGACGTTCGATCCAAGCCCTTGGGATTGCCCCCCCCGGGTGGCAGCGGAAGCAGGGCATGAGCATCGTCGGCCCCCAAGGGGTGTGGTGACCACGCCGTGTGGTGAGTCAGTGCGGATTCCAGGTGACCGCGCGATTTTGTGACTCGGGCTGTTCTCCGAGTATGTCTGATGTTGGGCGATTGGGGCCTCCAGGGTTCAAAAACTGTTCGGTGACAGACCGTGTAGTAGAGTCTTTCGGAATTTCGAGATGACCGCACGGTCTGTCACCGCACTGCTTTGGGAACCCCGCTGAATTGGCGCCAGAGGTCTGGTTCCATTCCATGCCGTGACTGGCCCCTCGTAGGGTTGGGACGTGCTCGGTAGCATGGCCCACGCATCGATCGCGTTCGAATCGAAAGACGCGCGAGCATTGATAAGGGCGTGTGGATCAGCGACGGGTCCCGTTTCCAGCATAGCATCGCCGCGTTCCGTTGCCCTTTCAGGCTGGATTGGCCCCATGTTTCGGAGAGGGGGGCCACTTTCCCGATCCGTGGATCCGGAAACAGAAACTTCGCTCGTCTTTGGCTTAATGTATATCGACGAATAGCGCCTAGTAGCGCTCAACAGCGCTCACTAACGCCAAACAGCGGCCGATAGCGCCACGTGAGGAAGACGCGTGGTGTCCGGTTTGCTCGCGACTGGGCGCGCTGTTGGGCGCCACGGAGACGACAGAAGCTTCCGTGAGCTGCTTGCTAACAGCGCTTCGTGCAGGCGTGCGCCCGAAGGAAGCAGCAGTGGGTCCGACGCCGGTGTAGCGGCGGGGGTCCGCCTCCGACGCGCGGGCGGCGGCAGCGCGCGGCGGCGGCACGGCGTTCCACGGTGTTTGGCGACCCTGGGCCTACGAGAACCACAGGAGCACAGGGAGAGGAGCCAGTGGAGGAGGATGAGGGTCGATTCCGACTTGCCTGTCATCCTTTGTGTACCGTGCGGTGGTTTTGCCTCCTCCAAGTCTGGAGGGAAATTTGTGCTCCCTGGCCCCAAGCCCAGGAGGAGCTCTGAGCGCTCGGAGCTACCCAGTCCGAGCTTGGCCAGTCCTCCCCCCTTCCCCTCTCTTCCCTCTCTCCCCATCCCTCCTCCCCGCATCTGCCCGCCACCCCGACCGAGCCTCGCCTGTGACCCATCCTCGGCTCGCTCTGCCGTGGCGCTGTGCGTGCTCGTGGAGCGACCTGAGGCGCGCCTCGGGTCACCGAGGCCCCCGAGGAGGAGGTGGAGGCCGAGGGAGGAGCCTTGGCATCGCTCGGACGTGTGCATTTTTCCGTCGGCGAGGACCATCGAGGAGCATCCTTGATCATTTGGCGAAAAGCCACGCGCGAAACCGAAAAAAACACAGGAAATGGACGTCCGAGCGATGGCCAGGGAGCGCGCCGGCCTCCCGTCGAGCGCGGCAGGACCCGGTATTGGCCTGGGCCTCTTCTCTCAGCTCGTCAACGACATGTCTGAGGACCGGGGCAGCAGAGCTGCCTGCCGAAGTGCTGTCCTCCTTAAGCCGCCATGGCGAATTTCCCCCCCTGCCCAGTCGTGAGGGTCGGGGGCGAACCAAGAGGAGGGGGATGACTGCGTGACCAGGTGTGTGTGTGCGTGTGCGTGTGCGTGTGCGTGCGTGCGTGTGCGTGTGCGTGTGAGTGCGATAATGTCTGTGTGTGTGTGTGTGAGAGTGTGTGTGTGTGTGTTTGTGTGGATGTCATGCCGGGGGTCATGACACCTCCCCGGATTTCATGCCCCCCTCTTCTGACTGCAAAGCGTCCCTTGTGCCCCCTTGGGCCGCGCACGTGGCCCGCGCCATGGTTTGCGAGCCCACCTCTTGGACGTTCCCATCTTGGACGCACCCGAGATGGGCAGGTAGAGCAGGGCCTGGCAGACCCCCTCGCGTTTTGAATCACTCACAGCGGACGGGTTTTGGCAGCTTTCGGCTCCTTGGACCGTCGAAGAACGACTCAAGATGAAACCTGGCCTTGGGAGGGTGTCCAGATCTCCCGGGGCCCACGTTGCGGGGAAACCACGAGCTTTCTCTTTTCTATTCTTCCTCCCCCCGCCGCAGCCATTTTGGTGCAGCATCTGCTCCCCCTCCTCTCCCTCCCGTCGTGGCATCCTCCCCGCCCTCCCCGCCTCTGTGGTTGCACACCGTATGCCGCCTCATGATGCCTACCTCGGCGAGCACGAAGGGCAATGCATTCCCAGCGGGAGCTGCAGCGCTCACAGCTGCCGTCAAGAGTCATGGTAGCGCAAGGAGGTGGCTCGCGGCTCTAGACCTGTTTCGAGAGGCAAGTCGGTCAGGCCTGCAGGCAGATCCTATCCTCTACTGTGCTATGATCAACGCCTGCGGGAGAGGGAAAGAGTGGATACATGCATTGTCGATGCTCAGTGAGATGCGACACGTGAAGCTAGAGCCGAACAACATATGTTACAATGCTGCATGCAGTGCGTGCGAGAAAGCCGAGCAGTGGCAGACTGCCCTTTTGTTGTTAGCAGGGTATCGGACCTTGGAGTTGAAACTGGACGTGATCTCCTATAGCGCTGGGATCAGTGCGTGCGAGAAAGGTGGGCAGTGGCAGAAAGCTCTCTTGTTGTTGAGTGACTTGCGGGAATCCCGAATCGAACCTGACGTTGTGAGCTACAGTGCTGGGATCAGCGCGTGCGAGAAAGGTGGCCAGTGGTGGCACGCATTGGGGCTGCTGGCGGAAATGCGGGCTGTAGAGTTGGAGCCGAACATTATTAGCTACAATTCTGGGATCAGCTCGTGCGAGAAAGGCGAGCAATGGTGGCATGCACTGTCGCTATTGGGCGAGATGGTGTCAGTGAGATTGCAGCCCGACGTTGTCAGCTACAGTGCCGGAATCAGCTCGTGCGAGAAAGGTGAGCAGTGGCAGTTGGCATTACGGCTACTGGGCGAGATGTTGGACGGGAGTGTGGAGTTGGACGTAGTGTGTTGTAGTGCTGGAATCAGCGCGTGCGAGAAAGGCGGGCAGTGGGAACAGGCGCTGTCGCTGCTGACAGATGCCCAGAGCGTGAAGTTGAAGCAGAATGTGATCAGCTATAGTGCTGGAGTCAGCGCGTGTGCGAAAGGCGGAGAGTGGCGATGGGCGTTGTCGTTGTTGAGCGCAATGTTGGACGCGAAATTGCAGCCCGACACCGCGATTTACAACTCTGGAATCAGCGCCTGTGGGAAAGTTGGTCAGTGGCAAAAGGCACTTTCCTTGTTGAGAGAAGCCTGGGTGGCGAAGCTCAGGATTGACACGATCAGCTACAGCGCTGCAATTGGCGCGTGTGACCAAGGCGAGCAGTGGCAACAAGCGCTGGCCCTGTTGACTGAGATGCAGGCAGGGAATCTGGAGCCGAACGTCATCACCTACAATGCTGTAATCTTCGCGTGTGGGAAAGAGAGGGATTGGGCGCGGGCGATGTCGTTGATGAGCGAGTTGAGGATCTCAAACTTATCCCCAAACGGAGGCACGTACGGTGCTGCTTTTGATGCGTTATGGAGCAGCGACCAGTGGCACCGTGTTCTGATGTTGATGGACGATATGTCCGAGGCGAAGTTGGAGCCATACCACTTCATATACAGCGTAGGCCTCCGCGCTTGCATGAAGGCAGGGCGTGAGCGGCATGCGCTGCCATTTGTCGGCATGCTGTCGGACTCAACGGACATGTTGTTGAGTGCAGCGTGTGCGAAGACGTTGTGCGCTTGAACAGCAGAGGGCGGTGTCGTTGATTGAGGTGTGGGGCAGGCTCAGAGCTGGACGCCGCCACATTTTAACATTGCAGCCGTTGGGGTCCACGCTTTTCAGCGCCGAGCAGCCGTAGGTGTTGTCGGCGTCAAAGGAGCTGGCGCAGGCGAAGCTTGGAACGGGACGTCGACAGCGGCTGACCCGACGCCACAGCTGGCACGAGGGCCAAGAACAGGTCTCTCTGTGGAGGGGGTGCACTTATGGCTGTTCGCGTTGTGGTTCTCTACCCTAGCATTTTATTTGAATGGAGAGTCTCCAAGTTCTTGTGGGTTTTCGGTAAGTGCTGTTGTTCAGAATCCACAATCTTGTCTCCATTGTTTCGTCTGCACTGCATTCTAGCAGTGCTGCCACTTGCTGCGCCAGGTGAAAGTGCCGGATTTCCTCCAACAAGTTGGTATGTGGCATCGTTCGGAGTGTCCTCCCCAGTTCCTACTCCCCCTCCTGCTCTGTCCCTCTCTCTCTCTCTCCATCTTACTTTCCTTCTTCTCCCCCAGACTGACCTCCGAGGGCTCCCCCCAGACATCCTTAGAACCTACATCTCCTTAAACCCTCCAAAGCGTGCTCCCCCTCCCCTCTTCTCCCCCTACGAGGAGGACGACGAGGAGGTAGAGCGTCGACGATATATTCTGCGCGCTTCGCGTATCCACAGAAGCCCATTCAGAAGCACTACCCATGAGAGCTGGCGGGAAATGTGAGGAAGAGACACTTCTAGTGGACCAACGCGGGAACGCGGGAAACCATGGTGAACTGAGGATCCGGAGGAGGGGGGGAGGCAGATGAGGAGGATATGGACAACGACGACGAGAGGACGAAGAAGAGGAGGAGGAGGAGGGAAGAAGAAGTGGAGGGGGCAAAGACGAGGAGGACAACGAGGGCAAGGACGAGGATAAGGAAGAATACGAGGACGGGGAGGAGGACGAGGAGGAGGGCGAGGAGTTGAACGAGGCGAGGAGGATGAGGACGACTCTGGCAGCCATCTGGTGGTCTTCTTGAGGCTTTCTTGGGGTCCTCTTGTGGCTCTCTCGGGGCCCTCTTGGGGCCCTCTTGGGTTTCTTTTGGGTGGTCTTGGGGTCCTCTTGGGGTTTTTTGGGGGGGTCTTGGGGCCGGCTTGGGGCCCTCATTTGGCTCTCTTGGGCGCCTTGGAGGGCCTTCTCGTGTCATTTTGAAGTCCATCGGTCAATGGGGGGGGGGGCATATCTAGGCCCCTCCTCTGGAGCCATCAAAATCACCTCTTCGGGCCATCTTGTTGCTCTCTCAGGGGGAGTCTAGGGGGCCTATTGGGGCTCTCTTGGGCCATCATGGGGCCACCTTGAGGTCTCAAGAGCGCATCGGAAACGAACATTCGAGAAGGCAACCATCATTGTTACCAACCATACCGTGGTGTTGCGTCTTCGTTTCGGATTGAATGCGCCCCGCGTTTTCCTTCCTCCTGCCGCTCCCTCCTCCCTCCTCCCATCCCTGCGTCTGCGCTCCGCATGCCGATGTTGGCACACCTCTCACACGTTTCGTGGCCCCCCAGTGAGCTCCACCGAAGGCCCCAGTGGCAGCGCCCGCATGCGGTTCCACCCTCTGATTTCGGCGCACCGCTCACACGTTTCAAGGCTACCTAGGGAGCTGTACCGAATGCCCCAGTGGCAGTGCCCGCATTCGGTTCCACCCCCCAATTCGGCGCACCCCCACCCCAATTCGGCGCACCCCTCATTTTCTTCGGGGCCCCAAGCGGAGTTCCACCGAAGGAACCAGTTGCAGCGCCCGTATGCGATTCCATCCCGCATTTCGGCGCACCCCTCACACGTTTCGTGGCCCCCTAGTGAACTCCACCGACGGCGCCAGCCAGTGGCAGCCCCCGCAGGCGGTTCCACCCCCCAATTCGGCGCAACCCTCACACGCTTCGAGGCCCCAGTGGAGTTCCACCGACGGCTCCAGCTGCAGCGCCCGCACGTGGTTCCATCCTACATTCCGGCGCACCCCTCACACGCTCCGTGGCCCCATAGGGAGCTCCACCGAAGGCCCTAGTGGCAGCGCCCGCATGCGGTTCCACCCCATATTTCGACACACCACTCACACGTTTCGTTGCCCCACAGGGTGTTCCACCGACGGCTCCAGTAGCCAAGCCCGCATTTTGTACCCGTGCCCACTTTGGCACACCCGTCACGCGCGTTGTTGCCCCATGGAGAGGTTCACCGAGGACGATACCCGCAACTGCGTTACTCACAACTGGTCATGCGTGGGTCCTTCGCCAGGATACGGTGTCCATTTGGTGGTTGAAGGATTCTGGCCTCTTGGGGGTCCTGAGGGGGCTCCGAGATCACTTGGAACCCTCTTCGAGCAGTCGTTGGAGCCGCTTACGTAGATCATGTTGGAAGCTATCTCGGACTCCTGCTATCTGGAGCAATCTTGGAGGCCATCTTGGAGCATCGGAGGCCATCTTGGAGCCATGGTGGTCCATTTGGGGTGCCCTTCACGCTCGCGCCTCCCAGTCCAGACCTAGGGGGAGGGGGAGGGGAAGAGGTGAATACTCCCTCCCCACCCGCAAGCCCTCTCGCTCTGTCCCGCCCGCACTCCCAACACATGCGCAGCACCCGAGCCGCAGCATGTTCAGCGGTCGCCTTTGGATTGGCAGCCTATGGGGACCAACACATACCCCATGTGTGCATCGCTGGGGCGAGGTGTCCCACGCGTGCCAGGCGCGCCACGCGCGCCAGGTGCTTCAGGC